GGGGGTGGAGGAGACTCCGTCTGTCGGGTTTAAGCAGCAGAAAGCCAGGAATTTAATCAGCGTCTGGGGAGAGGCAGGAGGGCAATGATTTCCCTACTCCTGATAACAATCATATTCTCACCTTTCTCCGAAAATGTGTGACTAGCCCAAAGTCACCTAGCAGGCTTCCATGGTATAATGGGGATTCAGACCTAGATCTCCTATGTTCTAGTTTGAAACTCTAACCACTATACAACATTGGCTTTCAATGGGTAGCTGCTGTTATACAGAAACAAGCAGCCAGTTCTGGGTGAGTAATGCGAGAGGTCTGATGGCTGCTGGTGGACCTGAGCCTGAATAGTCCTCTCTCAGAGGCCAAAATAGTCCTGGAAAGGGTAGTGTTGTCGACTTCAATGTAGTGGCTGGAGATCTCCCACTATTACAACTGATCTCCAGGCGATGGAGATCATTTCACCTGGAGAAAGTGGCCACTTTGGAAGGTGGTCTCCAGTGTTCCTTCTAAGCTGAGTTAGTGTGAGCTAGCTCACAATTTTTTAGCCTCCAGCTTATACATGTTTTACTTAGGATTGCCAAGTAAAAATATCCTACCGGCGGGGGAGCCTCGGCGGGCTCCGAGAGCTGTCCTTCGATGCGCACGCGTGGCACCAGCACATCACCAGAAGTGATGCGCGACATCGATCACGTTGAAGGCGTGGCCCCGATTGTCGGAGGGAAAACCATAGAGTTTTCCCTCCGACGATCGGGGCCACGCCCCCAACTTGATTGATGTGGTTGCATCACCTCTGGTGATGCAGCTGCGCTTCGGGGGGCGGAGTTCCCCCCGAGGCCCGATTCCGCGGCAGCGGAAATCGGGCCTCCGAAGCGGGGGTTTACCCGCCCCCACTTGACAGCCCTAGTTTTACTTAGCTCAGAAAGGATGGCTCCAGAGCAAACTAACTTATGCAGTAGTCAACTCGCTCGCTCACAACTTTACTGCCAGTAGCTCACAAAGTAGAATTTTTGTTCACAAGACTCCACAGCTTAGACGGAGCATTGTCTCTATGGCATTATACCCCATTGAAGTCCTTCCCCTCCCCAAATGCTGCCCTCTGCAGGCTCCACCCCCCCCCCAAATCCCCAGGTATTTCCCAACCCAGAGTTGGCAACCCTACGGAAAGGGCCTTGTCCCCTTCCTACTTTTTGGCCACAAAAAACAAAGACTACGATACTGGCAATACTGTTTTAGTTGCTTGGCAACCCCACAATGGCCACTTAAAGGGTATTGTTGCTTAAATCTACAGATGCTGCTTGTATTTGGAGAGGGGCTAATTCTCCAAAGGAATTTTTTTTTTTTTTTAGACTTTAGGTTTCTTTTGCAAATCCGGGGCTTTTGTAGAAAGATCTGTTCTGTCTTGTCCGTTCATGGCTCCACTTTCCGGATTTAATTGTCTACAGTTTTGTCCATGTTGAGAATTAGATATATTGATAGGATTGTAGTCTACTGCATTATCTTGGCTTTGCTTCCTTGTTTTATAAATGTGTAATCCATTTGCAGCATTGTTTACAGAATGCCATTTCTTAAACTTCTTACCATTCATTGCCTTCAAATTTCATAATTCTAGTCCTACTGCGTTGTTCACTTGATGTCTTATACTGTCTAACTGCATTTTTATATTTTGTAATCAACCTTGAATCTCAGCAAGAAAAGCAGATTAGAAATAATTATTATTCTGGGACACATTTTAAATAAGAATAGCATCCCTGGTTTTAGATTGTGCTCTTGTTTTAAATATTTAACACTTTACTACTTTGTTGACCTTGAACATAGGTTTTACAGAAAGGTATAACTATTCTAAAATCGAATAAGCTACTTCTTATATAAAATACTGGTCTATTTCCATTCTAATGTTTCCACTCTCAACTTTATTGAGGTCTTTAAAATCCATCAATCCTACCTACAGAAGTTCAAAAGATTCTCTGAAGAATTTTTCCCTCAACAGCAATTTTTGCAGAGCTGATGTTAATATAAAAGGATAGAAATACACCAAACTTTTAAGACAAAAACTACGTGAAAACCTTGCCTGGAGTCATCTTATTTCCTCCCCCATCAAAGCTTCCAACAGCATACCATGGTTTTCTGAACACAATGGGGTCACGGGCTTACAAATTGTCAAGTTCTACTCCTAGTTTGAAGCCTATGAGATTTTCTCTTCTTCGTAGTGTTTTTTCTTCTTCTTAGCGTTAATGTTTGCCTTAGAGTCTGACATTTGACCACAATAATTAGCAGCAATTTGACTAAAATACCAAGGGGCCTCAGGTTTCATTTTCAGCCCTGAAACCACAGAAGGCAAGCAATGGGGAATGTACATGAGTGCTGGTGCTCAAAAGGCTTAAAAATTAAAAATGCAAAAGTTGGTGATAAAATATGTTAAGAGCAAATAGTTAGGCTCAGGTTCTAAAAATCCAGTTCAAATACATGTCTTGGGGCCTGTGTCTTGGACAGTGTCTGCAATTCTGTGGAAATGGCAAATCAGCAATGGACCTCACAACAGTTCTCTCGGTAGTTTCCCAGTCAAAATAATTGCCACTGCAGCAGTAAACAGAGCAAGATTTTTGGGGTGCTGAGAATCATGGAACATATTGAATTCATTGTTCCATACAGGCTTCTTGTGAGAGTCTGCCTTTGTTTGGATGTGGGATCCAATGAGTGTGCTGCAGCATAAAACCTACATACAGACATCTGGCTAGGAAACAGGCAAGAAGACATCAAAGCATGTTTTCATTCCTAAATCTGCATATGTAGCAAGCTTTTCTCAACTCCCCTTTCTCATCTGATGAAGTGAGCTGTGATTGATGAAAGCTTATGCAAGAATGAATTTGGGCATTTCAACTATTCATAAAAGGTTTATAAGGTATATAATGAACATATAGGATGAAAAATGTAAGACTTTTCATTATGAGGTCAAAGAAACTGAAAAAGGAAAATCACATGATTGTAACCCCCTATATATGTTGTTTGTTTGTATGTTTATTTACGTTTATGAAATTTTAAAAATCTGAAAAAAAAGAAGAAAGAATGAATTTGGGCAGACTTTAATGTGTTACTGGACTCCGTGTTTTATTTTGCTACTATGGACTAACATGGCTACACATCTGCAATTTCCAGTGTTATATCATTGTTTTAAGAAGGACTCTATGTTCCTTACCTTTGAGACATCAAGTACTGTCATCATTAGAGTGGTTACTGAATTTTGACTGTATTCTATAGTTTTCTTTTGTATTAATTTGATAGGCAGGTTCCCTTGTACCATCCAAGTCTCAGGACTGATCTACACATTAAGAGTCTAGTGGGCCAGTGTTCTTGGGACTATACCTTTTGGACTACAGGACAGAGCATTGCATGTTTTAATACCTGTTGGTTTTAGTTTTAAAACTGTTGCTTTTAAATGTTGCATTTTATGCATCTTATGAGTCACTCTGGGGACTCTGATCAAGCAAACTTCAAATATTATCTGTCACCCAAGAAAACATGAATGTCATGTGTAGGTCCTTGTGTCTTCTCTTGCTTTATACACTATTATAATGTTGTCCAAGACATCAAAGGTGAGGTGCATCCTCAAATAAGCATTTTCCCCAAATGGACTGCCTTATTTGCATCTACTTCAATGCATATTGGTGTCAATATGGTAGAACTGTGTAGCTGCTCATAATGATGCAAACGCTAAGGGGAACAGAACAGTTACTAAAGAGCCAGGAGCAACTGCAGTTACCATCTTATGGACCATGCTATGTTGTTTCATAACGAAATGTAACTTCAGCTCTCAGAAGTTCCCAAGATGGAACAATTCCATTCTTGGCTGCATTTAGATGTCACAAAACAACATTGTGAGCAAACCTGAAATCCTCAGCCTCAGGCCTTTTTCTGTCCTATGTAACCATAATTGAAGACCGCATGGATCAGAAAATCTTGAACGCCTGTTAACTGTCCAGCTTCTGCTAAACACCTATTAGTTCAAGCCACTTCATATGGAGGAAAATACAAATATTATAAAACTAGGAAAAGGGTCCATTGTGGAAATAAATACAACGGCCTCTAGAAAGAGGCTCTGGGCGGGTGCCCTGGCCTTAGACACTCAGTGTCAATGTGCTGTGGCGACATCAGCAGGGTATAATGACACTGAGTCCACCATTTTCTCCAGAGGAACTGATCTCTGCTACCTAAAGAACAGTTGTAATTTTGAGTGATCTCCAGCCCTCACCTAGAGATTGGCAACAATGGTTCCCCAGAAGGGAATGGTTGGTTTGGAGGGTGGAGTCTATGGCTTTGTACCTGTCCAAGGTCCCACGCCTCCTGAAACTTCACCCTCTCCAGGCGCCATCCCTCACATCTCCAGGAATTTCCCACCTGGAGTTGGCAACCCTATCTCCTTCCCAGCCAATCATCAACCTACCTTTATTTTCTCCTCACTCTTCAGCTTTCCACCCCCCACACACCTGCAGCCTCTCCCATGCTCTGAAGCCCTGACTGCTACGTCACATTGGCTGTCATACGGGGGCCACCTCAGCAGCATATAAGGATACAGAGCCCACCATTTTCTCCAGGGGAACTGATCTCTGCCATCTGGAAAGCAGTTGCAATTCTGAGTGATCTCCAGCCCTCACCTGGAGATTGGACACATTTTACCTCAGAACAGCAAACTGTTTAGAATGTTAGAGGCAAAAGCCAATCAAGTTGCATATGCAAACGACCTCTGTGTTCCGAGGCAAAGGCCAATGAGGCTGCATATGCAAATAACCTCTGTGTTCTGACTGGCTATGAGGGGAAGAGGAACAGCAAACTGTTTAGAATGTTGGAGGCGAGACTCAAGCAATGCAGCCAGTGGATAGGGACAGATTCTGAGTGACACACCAGGGTGCCAACCAATTCCGGAGCATGTGGAATGTTCTAGAGAAGTGCCACCACCATTCAGCTTTTATATATAAGGGAGATGGCAGCATGTTAACAAGTTAATTCATATTACCTTCCACAATTTCCATGTCATGAGGGACTCTACAGTGTCCTGCATGACTTACAACCCAAACTGGATACTGCCGATTTAGGCCACAATACAAAGCTTGAATGAATGTCCAATAATAGCCAGTGAATCCTGGATTACCTGAAAAAGAAAAGGAAAATGTATTAAGGATGCTGAAAATAACGAGAACTATTGCAGTTGAGAGACTACAAAATCAGAATTAACTTTGCATCCCATTAATATTATTTGTAACCAGCCCATAAAGTTGACATGTGGCTGATTTAGATTCCCCGACACACATCCCATTCCCAGCAAAGTCAGTAAAAATATTTTTAAAACAAATTCCTTACTGCTAGAATACCATTTATTCTTAAGACCACTCTAGCCCAAAATATATTTAGAGGCCAAAGAAGATATTGCAAATGGTTGTACAGACGTCCAGCAAAAGGTTTGGAATTCATGTAATACAGGAAAAGTTTATCTTTCAGCAACATGGAAGATCAAAGTAGCTATTTGAAGATATAACCCATTTTGTCCACTCTAAGATGTGCTTGTATTTTAGTTTTTCGAAATACAATGCATTAAGGTGCTTCATCAGCAAGACATTGGGTTTACTGCAAACAAATATATACTTTTCCTAATAATGGTTTACATCATCTTAAAGAGTTGCCCTTACTTTTTACATTCTTGACCCCTTTGAAAGCACCATAGAACGCTGTCAAAGCTTTAATACATTTTCACCTCTCAGCATTAATTCCATTGGAGAGCACATGGAGTATTACTTTGCTTCAATCACCAACTGAACAGTGAAAGTAAGAAGTGTTTATATAACCTTCCTCAAGCTTTGTGTTCAATGCTAGCTTATAGCCCCGTGACTAATGCTTTTCCGAGACAAAAAGAGACTTCATCCTTGATAAGTGGAGTCACTACCTGAGATTTACTTCAGACAGGAAAAAAAAGAGATAAGATCACCAAAAACAGACCTAGGAAAGACCCAGGGGAACAGAGAGCGTATCCTTCTCATAAGCATCTGCTCAGGAAAGAGATAATCTTATATATAGATCAGTTGTAACTACTGCCAATGTCAAAAAATGCCTTAAAGGGGTAGAAATAAGAGACACTGCCATGAACAAACATCTGAATGAAGGAGACAATAATGGCAGAGAGAGAGAGAGAGAGAGAGAGAGAGAGAGAGAGAGATCACCACCACACAAAAACACTGTCAGAAAATTATATCATGGCTTACTACATTTCTAATATCAGTTTGCGGACAACAAAATTCACACATCAGAAGTAGATGCATTACCACTGACAGGACTGGACCTCTGGGATGGGGTCCAGGGCCTCAGACACCCTGGCTCTGCAGAGGCCTCCAAGGGCTCATCCCCTTCTTTCTTTAGTCTCCACTTTCTTTCCCTCAGTGCCTCCCCAGAAGTATAGTTCATATAACACCTGATACTAACAATTCTGGGAATGAAAGAATCCAGCATGTACTGGGAGTGGAAACAGAGAATATAGGTGGATGACACGGCAACAGTTTCCCCTCCCCTTGGCCGTCAGTGCACTGCCGCCACCCCCTCCCCCCATCAACAGAAATGACAAATTAGAGTGAGATGGAGGTGGGAATTATTTGGCTCAGAATTGCCATCTGAGCAAGACAGAAATTTGGCAGATGGGAAAGGCCATCATGTACTCTGAGCCAAAGGAACTTCCATCAGCCATCTCTCAAATTAGGCAGATATAATGATGAAAGGTGGGACATAAAATTGTTCAGACCAAAGTCTAAAGGTATCTAATTGTACCACTGAATGGATGTGTGGTAGAAAAAGTCTCCTCACTGCTTGGCAGGTGGGTACCAAGCAACCCACTAATCCAGGACAGTGATCAGAGCAACAAAATACTATTCCTGTGCCTGGTTCTGGAGGACTAGAATAACAGCCTACCGTTTAGAACTGCACACCCATGGAGTTTTAATTGCTACGTACAGGTGGGAAATAGTCTGAAAGCACAAAGATGTCTTTCCCCTGACATAATAATTAATTGATCTTAGGCAATGTGTTACACTAAAATATGCTATACATGACTTTTTTTAAATGACTGCACATTTACATGAATGTTCATCATTTTACTTAGCCTTGCAGCAGCACCAAGTTACCTGCTTGGTATGAAGAGTACTGTTATTTATGTACTGTTTATTTAGATTATTTATATTCCACCTTTTGGCTCAGTCAGGGCCACCAAGGAAGCTAACAACCAAAAACGGAGTAGTATAAAAACACATCATAAAACAAATTAAAAACAGTTCCAGTTTTGGTGATTTGAGCCTCGGACACGTCCCATCGAGCTCTTGATGGAGGCGTGCCAAGAAGCGACAGACAGGAGGGGTCCTGGCCAGTAGGGGACTCCCAGCCGGGGTGCAGAGGAGAACCTCTCCCAAGGCAACGGCTGAGGGATTGAGGCTCCCCCTACCCCAAGAGGTCCTGCCGCCACAGAGCCATTTTGGTGACAAGAGTTTGCTGCTGGACAAGCAGACAAGTGAACAAGCATGATTATTCTACTACTATGACTCAAATATGAAAACAGTGAGTTAAGCGATCCCCTACATAAGTGTTTATATCTCCAAAACCAATGGCTTTAACTTACAAAATAAACGGCGGTTGGGGGAGAACTGGGGATACTCCCTCGAAACTGAACGGTCCGTGAGCGGAGGGGGAAAAGAGAGAACAAGCACAACTAACCATATGAGACTGCAAACGAGACCGAAAGGTGCAAATTAATCCAAAACGTACTTAAATCAGAGAACTTTGACTTTAAATCTAAAAACTTTCTTCTTGTGTAAACAATGGCTGGTAGAGGGAGAAGAATGGCGCCGGAAAAGAAACCTCTCACAGGAAATACTGTACCAATAACTCCCACCCAGACACTGGAAGCAGCTGCTGACTTTCCAAATATGTTGGCCATAGCACTGCACCCCCTGCTGGAGCAGATGTCTAATATCAACAGTAAGCTGGATGGTGTCCAAAAGCAACTGGCACAGATGGAGAAGAGAGCAAATAAAACTGACAGAGCCATCAGGAAAGTTGAAACAAAAACCAAAGTATCAAGCAAAAATTGGAAGATGTGGAAAAAGAGAGAGCTGCAGACAAAGGCCAATTGCTACAACTACAAGTGGAAAGATCATTGTATATCTTATGCTTTCAAGGCTTCCCTGAGTAAAAAGGAGAAAATCTGAAACTAATTAAGTGAAGCGTTGGCACCAATGACAGATACTAAACAAAATGAGCTGCAAAATGATATTGATTTGGCATATCACACGTATCTGGATTTTATTAAGAAAAACAATCTACCTGGAGAAATATACGTGAAATTCTCAAAGAGATCCACCAGAGACAATGTTTTGAAAGCCACATCTGGAAAAGTCTTGAAGGTCAAAGACAATGAAATAAAAATTTTAAAGGACATTCCATTTGAAATGCAGAAGTGAAGACGACAATACAAGGACATAACCTATTTTCTCCACAGTAATTCGATTCCTTTTAGATGGATGTTTTCTGAGGGACTTGTATTCAACTATAAGGATAAGAAGAATAAAATTGACTCTGTCCAAAAAGCTAAAGACTTTTTGAAACAGCAACAAAACCCGAGTAAAGATGATATAAAATCTGTGGATAATATGGAAGAGGAGGAAGCTAGTGTTGAAGAATCAGATGACACCTCAAGAAGCTCCAGCAGCACTGCGGGAACTTCAGAATCGGAGAAAGGAGTTGCTGCACCGAAAATACCTAAAGCCAATTTTGAAGTACAAGAAGAAGAAACGTAAAAATAAGCAGATAGTTTAACAGAATAGGGATTATTAATCACCTGAGATTAGTATTAAGAACCAAGATAGTATTATTCAGAATTTAACCTTTTGATAAAATGCTTTTTGTTATTGTAGTAGGAATGATATGTAATTTGGAATATGATCCTTGTCTTATCTTTTGTGTTAGTCTTAGTTTTTCCCCTTTTCCCTACCTTTTGGTTGTAGCATATAAAATACAATAAAAAGTTATAAAAATAAATAAATAAAACAAATTAAAAACCAGAACTAAAATGCATTTCTATACAAACAGAGGGAGTTATTGTAAAATTATATGCACACACATGCATGGAGAGCAGAATTACAAATATACCTGGTTCTTTTTGTAATGGGTCTTTTCAGAATGAACAATACATGTAACCAGCACTTTGTATTTATATAGTGCTTTACAGAGTTCCAAAAACATCACATATACAATCCCAATGATCTCTGCAATAGACCTACAACAAAAGTTCTGTCAATATCACCATAAGGAAGACAGGTGGATAAAACCAAGAGAAGAGCAGCTTAGTTAAGGTCAGTCTTCAACAAAGACAAAGTTTGAAGCTGGGACTTGCAGGTTTACATCTCAATTATTTAGCCACTAGCGCTGCCTTCCAAAAACAATGTTAACGGTTTTCCAAATTTTACAGCTACAAATGAACTTCCCTATGCCAATTTATTTTGAGTTTTCCCAGGGTTAATGAAGCCACCAGAGAGACAGACTATTCAACTGATGGCATCCAGTTTCCATTTCATGGCCTCTTTCATGAGGCTCCTTCTTGTTTGACACTGTCATACCTAAAGATGACTTGTTAAAAGATAGGGGAGAGATGAAAAGCATCTTTTATAAAATGGATGTAATAAAGGGTGGGCACATGAGGGACAGGGCAACTACCGGAACAGGTGGGACATTGAGGAGCCAGTTCACACACATGAGGATACATGAAATTGTCTTATACTGAATCAGAAAATCAGTCAATTAAGGTAAATATTCTCTACTCTGACTGATAGCAGCTATATAGGGTCTCAAGCAGAGTGGGGCGTCAGCCCCCGCCGAAATTTTCAGGAAGGTGCTCAGCCTCCCCCGGGAGACACCCTTGCTCCTGGCAAAGCAATGCCTCTGGCCCAGCCCCCCCCCCCCCCGGGAAATGGGAAAGTCTACACCCTAACTGCCTGGTCCTTTTAACTGGAGATGCCAAGGATTGAACTTGGGACCTTCTGTGAGCAAAGCAGAGGCTCTTCCACTGAGCCACAGCTCCTATCAGTGAATTTATGTTTCCTCAGGCGTGAATTTATGTTT